AAGAGCACCTAAGGGAAATAAACTATGTCCGTGCAATGGCATAGTGAGTCCGAGGAAAGTAGTCTCTATAAAAGACCCATGGGAGGGTCACGAAGTTGGGCCGTGGATAGAGCCCATAGCAGAAGATGCTAAAGAGACGTACTAGGGGTGAACATCCTCCGGACTTGGCAAAGAAGAGTCTTTGCTATGGAACCGAAACAATACCTCAAGAAGGGAGGTAGAGATTCGATGTTGCTTGGTGCAACAATCAACGGATAGGAGCAAAAGATGAGTGGCCAAGATAGGGCCGTGGAATCCCTTGGAAGGAATCCAAGTGACAAAGTTAGGCGAGGAACACTAATGTGTTAGACGCTAATAAGTTGCGGGAAAGGAAGTGTGTTTCCAAGGAGGGATTCCGAAATGCTCCGATTTGGCGAAAGTGGAAGCTCCAAGGGAGGGAGCGGTAAGGTAGCCAAATGATAGGGCCATGAACAGCCCTAGCACAAAGTATAATAACTAGAACTTTGGCACGAAATAGAAGAGAGGATGATGGTGCCCTCGAGTAGAGAACTTCCTAGAATGGGAAGTGGAGTTGCACAAAAAGGTGCAAGGCAAGGTGTCGTAGACACCTAGGAAATTGACTCCAAGAAGTCAAAATTCAAACTTCCAAAGTGCAAAGGTTATATCGATGGAAATCGAGACTACTCGAGAAGGAGTAGTGGGATTGACTTAGAGAAGGGTCTCTAAGAGGTTTAGCGAGAACTAAACCAATAAAAGGAAAGAACCACTATATGTGGTCCAATCAGTCTCTAAGTTGGAGAGACTACCCTCCTTAGAGGATATGCAAAAGGCATGGTGAGCCTTCAATGTCCAACCATTGACGAATATGGAGAAGGCATGGTGAGCCTTCAATGTCACACCATTGACAAATATTGGCTACGCGCCAAGGATGGAAATGGTAACACATGCGGGTGTTACTTTATAAAATGGTTCACCGTTCGATGAGGACATCGAACTTCGTCTATGGGTGGTGGAGTTGTGAGACACAAAATCCCTAGGCCCCAAAGTGGAGCCGGAAGGGCGCCACATGGTAGTGACCGAAGCGAGAGCCAAATGAGCGTAACACGTTTGGACCAAAAGCTCCGACTTGAAAAAGTCAAGAGCAGGAGTGGAACTCCCAACGAAGTGCTCGAGGAACGAGCACGGAGCGAGCAAAAGGCGAGGCTCCAAAAAGGGACCCAAAAGGACCAACACATGACACATGGGAGTGTCCGAGATGGACCCGAGTTGGAGTCCGAAGTGGAGTCCGAGATGGACCCGAGATGGAGTCCGAGATGGAGTCCGAAATGGAGTTTGAGGTGGACCCGAGATGGACCCGAGTTGGAGTCCGAAGTGGAGTCCGAGATGGACCCGAGATGGAGTCCGAGATGGAGTCCGAAATGGAGTTTGAGGTGGACCCGAGATGGACCCGAGTTGGAGTCCGAAGTGGAGTCCGAGATGGACCCGAGATGGAGTCCGAGATGGAGTCCGAGATGGAGTCCGAGGTGGACCCGAGATGGACCCGAAATGGAGTCCGAGATGGAGTCCGAGATGGACCCGAGATGGACCCGAGATGGAGTCCGAGATGGAGTCCGAGATGGAGTCCGAGATGGAGTCCGAAGTCGAGACCGAGACCGGGACCGAGACCGAGACCGAGACCGAGATCGGGACCGAGACCGAGACCGAGCCCGAGCCCGAGACCGAGCCCGAGCCCGAGTCCGAGTCCAAATCCGAGTCCGAGTCCGAGTCCGAGTCTGAGTCCGAGTCCGAGTCTGAGTCCGAAGCCTGAGAGGGTGAAAGCCCAAAGCGTTCGTCTCCCAGACCCTGGGGGGTTTGGTGAGCTCCAAAAATATAGTAGGGGGGGAGGACTGCAGTGGAGCCAGTTTGGCCAGGAAAGGCCAGTTTGGCCCAGGAAGGCCGGACCCAGTGTTGGGTGATGAGCTGCCCACTGGGAAGTCCAAGACTAGAGTGAACACAGACCGACAAGCGGGGTAGCTTGGTGAAGTGTTCAAGAGCCGGCTCTAGTTCCCCCGGGAGATCGACTGGCCGATGCTCCCAGTCCAAGTGTGGGTGGCACTACTTACTTGGATACCTGGTGTGGCTCAACGGAACCCGCTCTAAGCCCATGGCTAGAGCACCCAAGGGCAGAAGGCGAGGAGAGTACCCAGGTGGCTCGCGTAAGGCCACGGTGTTCCGAAATGTTGTCCCAAAGGCCCAGACTGTGGAAAGTAAGAGGAGCAGTCCTCTGGGGTAGTGACCAAGGACACAGTCGTGCGGTAAGGAAGTCCCAGAGGACCGTGGGACTTAGTGGTCGGGCCTGTGGGTCTCGATCCAATGGCAGTGTTGGCAAATACGGCCAGGGGCAGAAAGGGACTTAGTGGGAACTGACAGAGGGATATTGGGGAAGGCTATTCCCCTTGTCGGTGGGCATCCTAAGGATGCTAAGGAGTGGATCTGAGATGACCACTCACGGATGGTTTGCCTAGTCTTGGAGAGCCAAGACGGTGATGCAAGTGGTATTGGACTACCAGTGTGGCAAAGGTGATTGGGCATGGCCTTAGCATAACGGGCTGCTATGTCGGTGGTACCTTTGAGTGTCGGTCATGGGATCGGACACGTGGAGCACTTGGACCAAGTGCAAATGTTGAGTGGCATGGATGCCATTCTCGGGGCTAGCAAGTCCCAAGTCCTGGATTGGACTTATGGAGGTTGTGAATGAGACTCCTCCAAGTGGTCAGAGGTGTGGTTAAGTGACTAAAGTAGAATGGAAAATTTAGTCGCTTACAAGGATAAAGAGTTAAAACCATGTGCGCTACATGTTGTCCTTCTACCAATCCGCCCTCGAAGCTTGTTTAAGTTTGGACCTGTACCAGCAAACCTTGCTTTTTGTGCAGCCAAAGTTTTTTATGATTGCTCAAGAGATCTAGTAAGGTCAGAAAGCATAGTTTCATAGAAGGATACTTTTCCTTTCCTTGCTTCAGAAGCTCTTCAACTTCAATGTTTGCTCTTAGAGAGATTAATTGTTAGTGTAAGTGCAATGTTATCAAGTGGTTGATCATAGAAAAAATGTAATATTTGAATGTGACAAAAAAAAATGAAAGAAAGCTTACATAGAAAATGTAATGGCCCATTAAAACATTTGAACTTCCCACCATACAAACCAACATTCCATTTATGGAGGGTGTTCAATTGGCATTTTGTCTCCTTCACACCACTATATATACATCTCCTTTGCTTTTGCCTTATGCTCCTCTTTAATTGATGCATCCATCCATTCTCGAAAAAATTGTTTGAATTCATTATGAAAGTTAGATTTGATGCATTGGCAATATTTGTTGACACTCTTTGCCCAATGAAACTCACAACTCTTCTCTTTACTTTGTAATGGCTAACTTTTATCACCTCCAAACACTTGTCACATAGCCAATCAATTAGCAACATCTGCCATAAATCCACGGAAGTTGGATTTCTTCCCAGTTCATTGTTCAACAACCTTGGACATACATGTCCATAAGATGGTGGACAAAAGAAGATTAAATTGGCAAAGGAATTGAAGTGCACAATCACAAAGACAAACTATATTAGTATTGTGGCTAAAGAGTTTGTTGTTGTGACTAAGTCATCAAAGGGTATGAGTTATACTAAAAAATCCATTTTGTACCCATCTAGATTTTACATAAAGGGAAAACAAGGGAAAGGTATATTTAGCCTACAAGCACATCTATTATATTTTTATGTAGAAATTAAACCAAGATTCTAAAGTTGACCATCACATCCACCAGGTAAGCCTTATAATTATGGAGCTTGAGAAGTGTTTCTAGATTGCTTTTAGTGTTCAGATCTATATTTATATTTGTATTTTATTAGTCAAATTTACTTGGAAATATAGATTAAATCAAAATTTGAAAGATGAAAAAATGTTGATTCAAGATGAACCAATGTTTTTCTTGTGTTTGAGAAGTCATGAGCTCAACTCGTGGGCTCATGAGCTCAAAACCTACCCAGGCTCAAATATTACAATGGTGATTTAGAAATAGGTGCTGGTAAAATGTCCACTAGATCATTTTCATTCATTCATTTATATTTTGTTTATATGGTCTTACAGCCCACCCAAGAAGCATGAGACCAAGGGATTTATATTTTTATTTACAGTATTTTTTTATTCACATCCATATTTGCTACAGGTGCTGAGGTAAAATCATTATGTTGCTTTAGACCCTCCTAGACTTCTTATGCAAGCTATGATCTAAGCCATTGAAAAATGTGTGGCTGCTCTTAGGCTTAAAATAAGGGAAAGGAATACAACTAGCAAAAGGATTCTCATACTAGAGTCTTTCTAATTGGCTTGGCAAAACTTTGAAACTTTCAAGTACCAGAGCTATTATGATAAGCACAGTAATATATCAAAAGTCTCAGATTGATGATTGGGTCATATGGCACAAAGTGAATTTTTTTATAGAAATCTATGAGTTGTTATATTTACCCCTTCTAGTTATGATCTAATATTACTAAAAAACTTTGGCCAAGTTTTGGGACTTGTCTTTTGGGAAGGATGCTGTCACTATATTAAAGATGGGAGGAGTCCAATGATGGCATAGAAGGTAAGCAGTCAACAAGATGTTATTTGGAATTTATCCTATTAACATATTTAATAAAGTATAAGAGTCAAATTTATTTACAAATAACATTTATTTAGCCAGAATATATAAAATATGTTAGTTGGATGATATGCTTACAATATCAAATGTATACATTATTATCATGGTATGATTTATCACATAGCTTCTATATTGTATGTTGCAATACACATTCTAATGTAGATGAAAGCACTTGTTTAAATTTCAAATTGCTTCACTACCAATTAAATACTAAAACAAAAATTTATATTATATTATATAACTTTTCTTCATGAAAATTTTACTAGTACATTGCTAGAAGGTGCTAATGTTTAGCCAATAGTGGGGGTCTGAGAATTTATAATTTCAAGCGCAAACAGTTCCAGGGAATTTGTGTGACCTGTCCTTGGTGATATTTGCCACTGCTGCCACTGTGTGGAAGCTTTGGTTCCATGACTTTGTGATCTTGTGACTGGGGCTCTTCGTGGTGATGCCCATGCCGAAACACTGCTGCAGTGACAACATCATGATCCAGGCAACCTAATGCGAGCACGAAAAGGACAAAGAGGTGCAGAAGCAAGCTCGCAAGTGCCATTCTTGAACTGCGAATTGCTGAGCCTAGGTTGTGTATTTTATAGAGAAACACCACATAAGAAACGTCAAAAGAGGGGTGCTCATGTCAACTTTTGACATTTAAAAACAAGACAATCACCGAGTGGATAAACACAAGGCGTGGAGTGTTTGATGCCTTGTGTGCAAAGCTGGGGGAGCAAAACACACTGTGGGAGATTATATTCCATGGAGAAATGTCAAAAGGCAGAGTGGGGTTCTCTTAAGTAGATTCTCACAAAGCAGCACTATTTTGTTGACAAAAACTGTCATTATTTCCAGCGATATTGAATCTGAGACTAGATGAGAAGCACGCTGTCAAGCGTGCTTCTCAACCTTAACAGCATCAGTAGCAACAGCATGGCCACCGTGACCACCGTGGCCACCATGCCCACCATGACCACCTCCTTGAGTCTCAATCGATTCAACACTACCAGCGTGGCTGTGGCCACCGTGGTGCCATCCAGATCCATACCCCTCCAGCTCCGCATCAGAATGTCCGTGACCACCGCCATACCCACCATGGTAGCCACCACCATAACCACCGTGTCCATATCCATATCCTTCCGGCTCAACCAAGTCATGACCACCACGGTAGCCACCATGGTAACCACCACCGTAACCACCGTTTCCATATCCATATCCATGTGGCTCAACTGAGTCACCGTGGCCATGACCACCGCCGTTGCCACGGTGACCATACCCACCATGGTCCCCATATCCTTGTGGCTCAGCTGCATTAGCGTGGCCACCATAGCCGCCACGACCACCAGAGCCACCGTGGTAGCCTTCTGTGTCAGCATGGCCGTGGTGACCGCCACCACCATAGCGGGATCCTTCTGGCTCGGCAGAGTGACCATGACCACCACCATACCCCTGTGGGTCTAGCGATTCATTCTCTTTCTCTGGGACAACTCTAGCAGAGAATGCGAGGTGGGAGGCACAAAGCAATGCTGCGAGAACTAGAGAGACGCTCTTCATTGTATCTTCTTTCTAGTTTTGGAAGCTAGCCCGAGAAAGGAGTGAAGAGCTTCGGTTATATAGAATATCGAGCATTGACAATGTCAAACATTAAGAATTTCATAACTCTTAGTGGAGGGAGAATCTTTGAAAATGCGAGGGGGCCGAATTATACCATCCCAAGAAGATCACGTCTTTGTTTCTTCTCATGAAATTCTTGTTAAAATCTTAACTTTAAAATTCTTTTCTTTCGTCTTGTTCTTGGAATCCAAAGGAATGCTGTCTAGAAAGCCTTTTTGTGCCATTGTCCAGACCGCATTGTCAAAAAAAAATTAAAAATGGGAAGATGCATCAAGCTAGTCCATGATTGTTCATGCAAAAGCAAATTTACAGCTTTCATAAATGTTTCATGTGACATAAATTTGACTCATTGCATAATAAACATTCAGAAAATGCCGATTTTCTATCAACTGTGTAAAAAACATAGACATTTTTAAAGTGCAGTTCTGAAAAATTCACTTAAAAATTCATATTTCTTGAGATTTTGAGGTTCTCTCTACAAGGTGTACGTTTTCACAATAACATTAGCCACCATTGATCGTGCAGAGAGACTGTTTAATGTTGTGTCAGCTAATTGACCTCGGTTGTCAGATTGAGAGGTGCTCACAAGACACACTCGGTGGTGTAAGGAGTGGAAATCTGGGTTATGCATAGCACTGCTGGTGGAATTGAGATTCTGCAGCACCAGGTTGCACTCCTTGTTCATGTGAGAATGTTTTTCTTTTTTTCTCACAGCTCGAATATAAATGTCTTCCTTCTCATATTTTATTCTATTTGTGTTTTCCTCAGGTTGAAAGAGAAGACTATTGTAGGGTATGCATAAGCATTTTATATGAGCCTGGAATTTTAGACTCTTTTTTTTTAAATTCACTTGTACTAGGACTTTTATTTATTAGAATATTTTCCTCTTTACACTCAATCAAGGAAGGAACATCAATTTTCCAAGAGCAGCACCAAAAATTCATCACCAATAAAGTCTGATAAAGAAAAACCATGGGCTCCTTTGCCAAACATTTGCAAAAATAACATGGACATGATCACCAAAAACTTCATGAGCACAAGAAACAACAACATTTCCCTGAGAATCAGTGTGCCTGCGCCCTGCCCCGGTGGTGAGGACAAACTCACAAAGAGATTGCACATGCCACTTTAGAGATCTTTCACAATGGCAACAACACCTGGCTGGGCTCCCAATCACAAGATGTCGTATGCCTGATGTGGCAGCCTGGGAGAGGTATTTTGAGGGGATGGATCACAGCAAGAATGTAGTGGCATGGAATTGTATCATTCTAGGATGTGTATACAGGGGTGAGGATGAATTGGACACCTCTTCTCTAGCATGGGGCTTCTCTAAATCACATAATGTTCTCAAGGTGTGCACTAGCCTTGTGAAGAACAATCAATTACCAATGAAACAAATAAATAGTGAATCCTAGACCAACCTCCCAACCTTTAATGCATTACAGCTTTAACCACAACAACCTAAAAGTCATTAACAAACTAGTGATAAAGTTTATCGAAAGGTTATTCCACTTGTTTTTGGGTACACACATACTTCTCAACATTTAATTTTACCCTAAACTAAAAGAGATGCCTTTTCACCAACACATAGATCTTTAGTACTTTCGGATGCCTAGCACTTAGCACATTATAACACTCAACCAAAATTTGTTTGATGAATTTATCAATACGAGGAACCACTATATATCCTTTTTTCATTAAGATTCCATCTCATATCTCAAATGATGCAAACTTGTTACCCTTCAAATCTATAAAGGTGTCCCTCAAAAAACCCTTCATATAAATATCAGTGATCGAAGTTAACAAACTCCTTAATCTCATCCAAGAAGTTGCTGGATAGTTTCATGAATGAGATAAAATTTATTATCCTAAATATTGCATCAAACACTTTATTGTCACCTCTGTCCTTGTACCGGATCTTAATAGACAATTCTTGTAAGAATTCTTGCCAACTAGCAAGATGGCCTCAAAGATTCTTTTGATGACTAAAATATTGAAAAAATTGATGGTTTGAATCTATATGAAAGTCCAATCCATAAAAATAATGTCACCATTCTTTCATAGTAACAATCATAACATACAACTCTTTATCTTCAATTTTGTTGTGTGGTTAGACTTATAGCTCATAAATATGACCAACTTAAAGTATTATGCCCCAATAGTAATGTCATTTACATTTGTTTCAACCATAAGAAGCTTAATCACCAACTCTGAAGCATTAGTCAATGAAGTATCACTATTGCCTATCTTTGCCTATAGATTTCACCATAGTCACATTAGCATTTGTTAACCCTTCCAAAACAATCCTTGCTCTAATATCCTCCACTTTATCCTTCTTTTGTTGGTTTAAATGAAGTTTCTTAACCATATTGCCATCTTCATTCTTCAAGCTTGAATGCAACAATAATTGTTTCTTCTCTAAATATGAAGCATGGGTTGGCTGGTCATCACGTTGACTAAGATCATCCTGTTGACTAAAGTTGACTCAATTGACTGATGGTTTTGGTGAAAAGATCTAAGCCCTAGTGATAACATTATTAGGAAAATAATTTTTGGCACATCCATTAAGCTTAAACCTTTGATGAAACATTGCACCTCATTATAAATACCTATGAGACTAAGGTAAAGATCATAAAACTTGCTAGCATATACATCTAAAGATAAAGTCCCTTATTTGATCTTTAGCAACTAATTCACAAGATCAACCTCTTTAAACTTAAACAAAGCATGGAAAACTTTTATCAAATCCCTTCAAAAAGTTGGCTTTGGATTAACTTTGATATCACCATGAAGAAATATAGCTTATAAGCTTTGTCACAAAAAATCAATTTGCACCTATCTTTAGAAGGGTTGTGATATTAACAACTTCTAACCGAATTAACCTTTTATATATTATAAACATCTGGTGATGGATTCCATTCCATGATATTATAATTTTTAGCATGCTTGACGTACTAATAATAATCACAAACACGAGATTGATTCAACCTTTGAGGTTCTATATGAAGTAGGAAATCCTTAATAAGATTGATAAAATCCTCTTAACCCCTTTAATGTTGCTTTGAACCTCAATAATTTAATGTCCTTATTTCACAACATCATCAAAAGATTCTTCTTCCTCATCATGGTCATCATCACTAACGCTATACTTCTCATCAGGATTTATATCCCACTTATCTGCCATCCCCAAAAACTCCAATACTAATGAAACACAAACCCTAGGCCATTAAATCCCATATGCCATATAATATTCTTAAAATATTCCCACAGTTTGTGTCTTTGCTCTTGAGAGAGACTTTCCAGAGGAGTGGAAGGGAGATCCACACTTGGGTTGTGAGGCTCAATAGAGAGGTACACACTTATGTTGCAAATGCTCTGATTGATATGTAAGCAATGTGCAGGAGCATGGTGGACGTGAGCATTGTTTTCGAGAGAATGGAGGAACTTAGTGTCATCTGGGATATTAGGACTTGCAGACGCCGGGGATGAGGAGCTAGCTCTGGAGTTCCACTAGCGAATGCAACACGAAGGTTGTCCTCCAGACTCAATCACCTTTGTCGCAGTGCTCAAAGCTTGTCAGAGAAGGAAATCGCCTTGGACAAGTCTGTGAAGCCAGAGGCGCTATGAAGAGGAAGAATCCTTCACGCTCAAGCAACAAGAAACGCTCAAGAAATCCAGCTCTTCATTGCAAATGCGCTCTTGGATTTGTACTCCAGGTGTTTGAAGGTATAGTCTCGCTCTGGTCACCTGGAACTCTGTAGTTCTCGGCTATGCAGAGGGTGGAAATGCGAGAAAGCTCTGGAGCTGTTTGCCAGGATTCGAGAAGATCCAAACTACGTAACCTTTCTCGCAGCACTCAAGGCTTGTGTGTGTTCGGCACAGAGCGAAGCAGGCACTTTTGTCAACGGGAAAGTGTTGAAGGTGGCGAGCTTGTCGAGAAGGTATTACTGTACGTGCTCCTTCACTTCAAACGGCCTCTTGCCGACAATGTAGATTTGCACCTTCGAAGGTAAAGGATTTGTTCACTGAAATACTTACACACAGCAGGAAGACTTGATTATATATCTGGGGTCCACTGATCCTGAGCGGCTATTACCATGGTGAGGTTATAATGGCAATATCAACTTTATAGAGGAGAGAGAAGTGATGAATTGTCAGTTTTAATTAGCTAAGGTATTACAATGGTGATCTATAACTAGGTGCTGGTAAAGTGTCCATTAGATTATTTTTATTTACAGTATATTTGTTATTCGCATTCACATTCGCTACAGGTGCTGAGGTAAACGTTATATTGCTTCAGACCCTCCTAAACTCTGCTCTTGAGGCTTAGAATAAGGAAGGGAATATGGATTCTCATGCTGGAGTCTTTCTAATTGGCTTGGCAAAACTTTGAAACTTTCAGGTACCAGAGCTATCATGATAAGCATTGTAATGTGTCAAAAGTCTGAGACTGATGATTGGGTCATATGTCATAAGAATTCTTCAAGTGAATTTTGTTTTGCAGAGATTTATGAAAATTTGTGCAATATTTGTCTTAAAAAATGTAACATGTAGAACTCACTTACTTTTAATTATTTTTATCTTGAACTTTGGTTACAATTACCTCTTATAGTGATAAGTTGGATATTATTATGTTACTAAAAAACTTTAGTTAAGTTTTGGGATTTGTCTTTCATGAAGGATGCAGTCAGGGATGGGAAGAGTTCATAACAATATTGGAAAAATTTTCATGTTTTATCCTAATAACATAGTTAATAAAGTATATTATTCAAATTTATTTACAAAAACATTTTATTTAGCCAAAATATACTAACAAATGACATTGTCACAACCAAGGCTTATAATATCAAATGTATTTTTTATTATCATAGAAAATTTTAGAGATTTTTGTTTAATTAAGAAATATGATTTACTACATAGTTTATATTGTATTACATTCT